GTACATAGAGCCTGACTGTCATGTACAGGAAGATCCCTTTTGCTCTCCTGTGGCAGGATAAAGGTCATTAATGCAGATGAGAATCGGACCTGAGGGGTGATTTTCCCCTTACATACAGCAGCTTATACTAGTGTCATTCCATTGTCTTCATTGTAGTTGCTCCTGTTTACATCAGTGTATGCAAAGGGAGAATTTGGCTCGTCTTACTACTAAAGATCTTGCTGCTTCCACAGCACTGTCTGTAGAGCAGTAGTTCTCAACCTTTTTAGACCCGCAGCACCCTCCTTTGGCTTGAAGCACCCCTTGGAAAATGCCAGCTCTTTTGCTCATTTTTTTTGGCTACAGAAAGGTAGGAAATAGTTTTTCTGTGGCAGAGAACTCAGAAAGATTACAGCAGGTCAGAATCTTCTTGACACCATAGCTTCCTATTTGAAATCCCTGGCTTTATCTTGTAAACCGTGTTTCACACTTAACAGTGCTAATATTGTGTGGCACCCAGCAGCTCCTCTGAAAGGATTTCAAAGCCCCTCAGCGTCCTGGGGTACCCGAGCTGAGAATCACTGCTGTAGATACCAGTTATTTATCTTAGTCACGTCTTTTGCCAACCTGTAGGGACAATTCCAATAAAACAGCCACCAAATATGTCCACTGTTAACACAACCCCCCACTCTGCCTCCTCTATTTTAGAAGAACCCAGGATAAACAGACAGGCCCTTGCAAAATTTTATGAAGGTCAACAACATTGGGCACCCCGGACCACAACAAGGAACATGTCCCATAGTCTAGATCTGTGCGCTAAGAGTATCTTGCTCTTAGACCCAGATCTGCAGCTTGGGAAACGATCAGCTTAATCATCAAAGCATCAAGGCACAAAGGCAGGTCTGTAAGATACCCAAGACCTGAATCCTTATCATGAACATCTTTCCAGATGGGGAAGACTATATAAACCTGGAACATAGGACAAGAGCTATGTCCATACCAAACTTCCACATGAGTAGACTTTAAGACAACTGCCTTCACATCACTGAATAGATACGTGGTATAAATGTTCTGTTCAAAGACTGCTAACGCTACAATTATTTTTATTATTTTAAACAGCTTGCTTGTCCTGATATGTCATTTTATTGGCTTCCTACACAGTTGGAACACCAGAATACTATGTGTAGTTACACTTTCCTGATGATTAATCACTGAAATTTGAAAGTGTTAATTTTTTCTCAATTCCTACCTTCCCAATCCATAGTCCTGATGGGCAGTGTAGTGTGTACATTAACCGTGAGTATGGACAGATACATTATACTGAATTAAAATTGCAGAGACTCACAGCATGTCAGCAGGTGGGTAGTAATTATTCAGCATGTCTGCTGCTGTCCTGGGGCAAGTGGAAGCCAGACTGTGTGGGTCCCTGTTTCATTTGGGAGTTGGCAATGTCAGTGTAGTTTTCACTGGCCGCAGGATAGGAGCAGATGCACAAAATAGTGACTGAAGAGTAGCTGACATGCAGTAAGTGTTTCTTTCTTCCTTTTAACTCAGCATAATTTATTCATCTGCCCATGCCCTTAGGATTTTCCATACCCAACCTCTGTGACTTACGGTGGAAGTCAGTCCCTTTATTTTGGCCATGCTAAGGCCACATCCTTTTCCATCTTCCTCCTCCCCCTAATTTTAAACACACCGTCATCCTCTTCCCTCCAAGCAACATCCTCTCCAGAAGATCAAGGCCACCAGTGCTATCATTGGCGTATGCTTTACCTGACCAGGAAGAATCACCAGCTTCCTTTACGCGCCACTGCAGGCTCCTCTGCCATGAAGGGAAATCCTGCCCAAATGTATTTTGATATCCATTTAAAAAAACAGGGTTATTTCAAAGCTAATTTATGTCTTATTATTTTACATCCTTTTCCTCATCAAGATCCAAAATGTCCGGGGAATGTGGATCTCCAAAGCAATGACTGGGACATCAAGACCATTACCAGCTCATTGAAATTCTACCTCAGGTAGCTTCATGGGTTTCTGTCTGGTTGAGACTGCCCAGGGCAGGCGAGAGAGGTGGTAACTAATTACTAGCCTAAGTCAGGGGCTCAGCAAACTGCAGTATACTTTAAATTTGTTTCGAAGCAGTCTCCTTCTCTTTTCTCTGTAAATAATATTGTAACATCAAGCATTTTTCATATTCAAAATGCTCTAGAGACATTATCCACTCGCTGTGCTCCCCACTCATGTTACTAGAGTCAGTGTCCAAACGTCTCTTAATAGGCAGGGGAAAATCATGGCCCATGACAGAAAAATTGTCATGTGGAAAGTTGGTGGCAGAGCTGGAATGGGAATTCAGGATTTCCTTATTCCCAACCCTTGCCCTGGTCACTAAGGCACAGTCTGTTTTCTGCCTCGGGGAGGAGCCAGGTGGATGAATATATCAAAAGAAAGCTAACTTCAATAGCAGGAGAGTGCTCCCATTTTACTAAGAAAAACCATTGTGGGGAGGGTGATAGAAAAACACCAGAACGCTTTGAGCAAGGAACGTAGCTTTTGTGTTTGTCTGTTTGAAAAGTGCATCTGTTGTAAAAACCCTAGACACAGTAGAGCATAACCCATAGGGGTCAGGAAAGGAAAGCGAGCTGGACCTCGGGAGTCATTGGTACTGGAGAGCACAATGAGATTATACCTGCTGCTGCTGCTTCTGCAGTAATGAGATCAGAATCACAGCTGCTCCCTAGCTCCTGGAGGAATTCAGTATTCTTTCTCTTTGTTTCAGGAACCTGTCTGAGCCCGTCATGACATACAAGCTCCATAAAGAGCTGGTCTTGGCTGCCAGTAAGTCCCAGCAGCTTCCCTCCTGCTTGTCTTGTCCCTACTTTTCAGCATTCTCTCTGAATCAAAGTACTGCATCTCCCTATCCCTCTGTCTCTGTCTCTGTCTCTCTCTCATAACGAGAGAAAATGCTGAGTGTTTTGCACATGGCGTTCTAGCCCAGGTAGAAGTGTTTTAGACAAGTTGCAGAACCTGTGGTGGGTGTCTTTTTTTTTTCTTCACATGTGCCCTTGTACTATATGGGAACCAGTGAGGGCCACAGCCAGTGCAGCAGCCACATCCATTTAGGAACTGATAGGGATGGGAAATCCTGTGATTTGGCCTCTGGGATACTGGGTCTTGAGACTGCCTCTGCGCCTTGCTCATCAGCAAGTGACACTTTGTTTCAGTACTTCAGGGAGCTGAGGGATCGTGAGGGTACGGCATTTTGCAGGATCACTACGTATTGGAGCACGTTCTCCGTGGGTCAGTTGACATCACTTCACTAGGGTACACTGACCTACACCATGTGGGGATCTGGCTCACTGTATTTAGGCAGCAGAGCCTTGCCTCTGCTTCTTCTGGTTTCTTAATTGGTTTGAAGGGAAGCACTCCTAAAAGGAAGGACACCCTTTCTTCCCCTCATGCCAGTCACCTCTCAGCATGCTTCCCTGTGTCTAGGTTTAGATCTCTTCAGCCACTCTCAAGGTGGGTCTGAGAGCCAAAGGATATTTTTAAAGTACTCTAACAGCAGTTTTGTCCTCACAATTGATTCTGTGGACAAGTTTTTTAATAGTTAATAGATACAGGAGGTGACAAATGTTTGTGGCCACAACAGCTCACACATCCCTTGTTGGCACTGGAATTTATCCTGGGATGGTGAATTCAAAAGACCTGCTAGTGTGTGAAATGCATTTTTCTGCTGGGGCTTGTAGTACTAAGTCACAGACCCGGCTGGCAAAGGTCAGGCAAATTACATGGGTATGCTAACAGGACACAATCTGAGCATCATGTTTATTTTTTAATGGGTAAATAGGGACATAAGATGTCAGGCACTTGCAGCCAGGCAGCTGCTCAGATGTCCTCTTTGGCAAAGCAAGTTTTTCAGAGATGCTGATCCCATGGTACCTTTGAATACCTGAAATGTATTTTCCTGATGGAGCTGTTAGCGTTCACAAAGATCAGCAAACCACATGTGTGTGCTAACAGTGCCTAATTAAAGTAGAGATGCATTTCAAGCAACTGCTTTTCCTCAGTCTGCTAGAATATCTCTTTGCAAGTAAAGCGAAATGGTTTTAAAGTAGTTGTTTAAATTAGTCCCCTAATTGCACTTGGAGCAGGAGTGCAGAGCCAGTGACCTTGGTCTTGTGATTACTTAGCTGTCTTTCTTGACAAAAAGAAAAGCAACTGTTTGAAAAGGGTACTGCAGATGGGAAACAATCTAGGTTAAACCGTGCTGAGCACCTGCAGCTCTGTTTGGAATCTCTGGAACTGCAAGGGCTCAGCGTCTCCTTGGGTTTGGCTCTTGGAGGATGAATAATGTTCTTCTTCCTGCCACCAAAAGAATTTTTTTCTCTTCCAACTGATTATGTTCAGGCCCAAAATGTATTAGTAGTTTTAGCTGTGATTAAACCAATAATGGCTGGGTGGGCAGAAAAAAAAAATAACCCTCTCATCTTCCTCCATCAGAAACCTCAGCTGCTACATGAAGCTTTCCAGCTGTAAAAATCACACATCCTTCTTTTTACATTGAGTATTTTATTGATCCATACTGGCTTGTGCCCTTTAGAGTGTAAGCAGTGTGGGGCAGGGACTCTGTATTTCACCCACCACATTTACCCTAAGTACAGTACTGTGTTGATCTGTGCTAATAACAGCCTCAGCAGAGAGGCCATAAAAATGAGCTGTCCTTTGCTCCTGGCACTGATTTTGCTAGGTGATGATTGAGATAGCATGGGTAACTGTGAGGAAAACTCTGTTGTGCCATTTCTATCCATGCAACACATTTCATTGGCACTAATTCAGATATAAAATACAGCCCTGAGCATATTTTTAAGCTTGATTTCTTCTCTTTCCACTTCATTTTGTTTCTCACAATGCATAATTTCACACTCCTGGTGATTACATCCATTTGCTTTGATAAGCTGCCCCCTCCCCCCTGTCTTCTAAGAAAACAGCACCCACGGATTTGCTTTGAGGAACAGGCAAACATTTCTGTCTTGTTTCTTTCCAGAGTCTGAGAATCTGGATTACAGGCTGGGAGCCATTCACTCGCTAGTTTATAAACTACCTGACAAGAACAGAGAGATGTTGGAACTCCTCATACGACACCTGGTCAAGTAAGCAGAATCCAGTACATCTTTCTGTTAAGCCACAGTGATAATTATGTAGCCAGAGAAACAAGCCTGTTTCTCTGTAAATTTAATTAAGCCTGGTGAACCACTGCACACCAGGGAACTCAGAGCACTTAGGCTGCATAAATTGTCTAGCTCTCTTTTCACTGCCATTTGATCAGGGTAAGTGTTATTTACTTTCCTACCTGCCACTTTTGCCCAATGGCCACTTTGTGACAAGCAGCAAGTTAAAGATAACATGGTCCAAGATACCAGAACATGACATCTATGGACTGGTCAGCCTGGCTAGAAAGAAGGTTTGTTTGAGATTTGGGACTGGTTTTCAGACCCTGGTTTTCTAGGACTGGAGGTTAGTGCTGGATGTGCTGTCGATGTGTTTGCTAGCTTTGTGCTCCTGCAAGGACTATAGTAGATTTTCAAAGCTGGGCTTCAGTCGGTAATAGACATACTTGACAGAGGAATTAACATCTGGAATGGAAGGATGTGTTTTGGCCATCCCATCTGGGAAAAGCCACTTCCCAAATGGGACTTTTGCAGAAGAAAACAAAGCTGCTTTGGTCTTGTAGTCACAAGGGGTGATGTTCATTTTGGTGCCATTTGATTCTTCCCCTTCTGTTTCACAGGCAGGAAAGCTGGCTATGTGGTCTTGGTTTGGACCTACCTCTAGTTCTTGAGAGAGATGTTATTTTTTAAAAACCCCTCCCTAATTTGGAGTCACCACTTAAAAAAATCTGACAGAACCCGTTACAAGTCCTAGTTGTGGTGTTTCAAACACTGGGTTGTGGCCTAACCTCCACTAAACCTATGCTGGCAGAAAGCCTTTCATACCAACAGGAACTAGATGACAGGAAGCAAACTCATTTGTGATTTCTCTACTCCCCACTCCCAAAGCTCTGGCTCCCATTCCAGATCCAAAATATGTGGTTTCTACCTAGCTTAGTTTATAAATCATTCACCGGTCAGTTTTTCTCAGTGGGACTGCATGTGCTGCAGAAGTCTAAGGGCTGCTAAATAAACAAAACTGTTTTTTGAAACCACAGAAAGAGCTTGCCTAGAGATCTCTCTGAAATCATCCAGAGGTGCTATGGTGGATGAATATATCAGAGGTGCTATGCTCGTATACAGTCCTTCTTTGCTGTAAAAAACCAAAATAAAATACTATTCCTCATGCCTGCCTGGGATGAATAAAGTATTCCCAGCCAAAGGTTTCACTCAATGTGTGTGTAGCACGGAGGGTTTTGGATCCCAGAGGGTTATAAGAGGAGCTGGAGTTTCAAAGAGATCAAATAACAACAGTGCCAGCACGTTGTACCCTCAAATGGCCTGTGCAGCCAAAGAATGTACTCGTCATAGCCAGATACTTGTTTTATGGCCAACTTAACAATGCTAGGTAACAAGTCTGCTGCAGCAATACAGAGGAAATGGAATGAATTAGTCCTGCTGTTTTTAAACGGCTTTTAGCATGCTCTTTTCTAATCCTCTCTCTTTCTGGTTTTTTTTTTTTTTTTTTTTTTTTTCTTTCCTTCCATCAGCGTGTGTGAACACAGCAGAGAGAATTTAATGTCACCATCTAACATGGGGGTGATATTCGGCCCCACTCTCATGCGGGCTCAGGAGGACACCGTAGCCGCAATGATGAATATCAAATTCCAGAACATTGTGGTTGAGATCCTCATCGAGCACTTTGAAAAGGTATGGGGCCAGCCCTCAAGAACTTGCCTCCAAAGCTCACTTCTGCACCATCAAGTCCCATGTGTATTTTTGCCCTCTCTAGTTTGGAGCATTGGCCTCTTTTGTTGGATTCTCCACATGGTTTTTCACTGTGCTGTTTAGAAATCCAACAAGGGGGAAGCAGAAATTGTAGCAATTACATGTTCTTCACTGTTTTGTTAAATGACTTGCCCAAGTCTTGGGGGGAAAAAATCACTGCCTTCATGAAATCAGAGAGACCCTTCCCCATTTGGGAATCTTATTCCATAACTGTACATGAAAGGAGTTTTATACCTTCCGCTAAACCAATAATTGGCTGAGAACGAACCCATACTAGAAGAATGACTGGTCCCATCTGGCATGGTCTAGAATGGGGCTGTTTGTGGGAGGCTTCAGCATATAACCAGCATTTTTGTTCTGTATCAAGTGGAATGGTTTGCGCTATGGTAGCCCATCCAGGTGTCGGTTTCCAGAGTGGAAGTGGTAGAGACCACAGGATGCTGACGAAGTGTTAGAAAAGTGTTTGGGTCACTACTAAATCGTGGAGGCACTGACACAGCAGGGCCATTTTGAGTTTGCGCTAAGATTTTCCTTTTTATGGTAACTTTATTTAATATTCGTACTGGAGTAGTGCCTAGCAGGCCCATTTGTGCTTGGATCCACATTGTGACAGGTGCTAGCTATGTACATATCTATTCACATGTGACTAGCAACAAACTGGTGTTATTCATGGTTTTCTGTGTCATGACTGAATGTTCAGCATTGCACTACCTTAATTCTTAGTCTGTCGCTCACAGTTTGTGGTAGAAAGGAACTGCTTGGGATTTTGGAGGCTGATTTGGAAGAGAATGATTGCATTCTGTGGTAATATGTGAAAAGTTAGGGTCAGAGATAGGATTAAATGAATCCACAGGGCATTTTGAGTACTTAAGGACATTTTTTTTTTTGGATTCAGAAATTGAGCAGAAGCCTATGAAAGCAATTTCCTTGCAGTTCATTGACATCCCTTCCAAGGAATCTCTCACAGCCAAGTAGACGCTCAAGTTAGGATGTTCAGATTTTATGCTAGAGCATGTACTTTCTTTTTTCCTTAATGTAGTAGAGGATGCAGGCCCATGTTATGGCTGGTAGAGGGAAGCCAGGACAAATGTATAATTATTCTGCCACCCATGAGATTCAGAATTAAATCTTTAATTAAGCCAGTCCTCTCATTGCTTACCTTTAATTCTTTCAATTATAAGGTTCAGTTGTAACATTTTATTAGATTGGGCTTGTTAAGTGGAACTTCAGAGTCTAAAATGTCTTCAGCTCACTCATAAGCAAACATTTCAAATGAATCTGGAAAAGGATTGATTTATTATTTATAGGGTGCATTATGAAGGCGTTAACGAGAAGGAAATTGTTCGCTGAGTCTCCATGAGTAATCATTGCTTCAACAGTTTAAATGTGAATGCCACGGCTAAATTAAAAACTTGATCTCCCTGGAAATATCTCCCACTCCTGTACAAACCTTTGTTTCTGAAGCTGCGATTAGGTCAATATCATTGTACCTTTTGCATTATTTAAATTTGATTTTCAGTTCAAAAAGCAGGAACTGAGCGGGGCTTGTGTTCACATCTCAGAAAGGTTTGCATTTTGGCACAGTTCTCAGAAGGAGCCAGAAGGCCGTTGCTACAATTGATGCTTTGTGGTAAGAGGTCTTCGTGGTTCTGCCAGTTCCACTCTTCCTCTGAAAGCCGAGAGTTGCTTTTCTGCAGAATGTTGTGGCCAAGAATGAAGATGTTGTTTCAGCAGGTTTTGTGAAACTTGTCTTGACTTTGATGCAGATAATCCTCACTATTTTAATGGGCCATTAACTGTTGCTATTAAATCAAGGACTGCTGTGTAACAGCACACTCTTTGGCACCTCGGCCAGAGGAACATTCTGGACCTTCAAATTCAAGAGTGGAGAAAATGTATCCCCATTTTGAAAGGACAGGACCAGGGGTGTTGGAGTCCATTAAGCATTAGCAGCTGCTTTGTGTCACCGGATTTCAAAGGCCAGCAGTACAAATGGAACAGATCTGAGTTTGGAAGAAGTTCCTGAATCCTTGCCCTTTTAGAGGGAGTTGTGTGTGCACATAGCTGCAGAACAGGGAATGTCGCCTGTGTGGCTTCCAAACAATATGAGATGGAAAAAGCAGGAGCACGTACCCAGACAGCATTCATAGCAAACTCACTGGACAGAGTTTGAGACGCTATTAACGCCCTTTGGGTTGGCTGCTGAAAGTACAGACCCTCAACTGCTCATGTGTTGGTCTCTCTCAGCATACAGAGAATCTGACTGCAGAAATGCCTGGCTCCTGTTACCACTATTATATGTTCTGCCTGGGCTTTGTGACAGAGAAGATTAAAAGGAAAGGAGCTGGAGAGCATTGCAGCATCTCATCCCACTTCTTGACTTCACAGAGTTATTCGGCTGAGAGTGACAAAAGTGTCTCGATTAAAACACATACAAGACATAGGATTCTGTTTACAGAAAATGACATGCATGATATTTTATAAAACAAAACACTACATTTACTTCTTTCTGAAGTCTGCCTGGATGAGACCCTGCCTTTCCCCCCACTGTAGTACCTGTGCAGAACAGGGGCCCACCTGCCTCCCCAGCCAGTGAGAGTCGTGTATCTCATGAGAGCACCACTCCTTCCCCAAGGCTGACTCATTTTCTGTTCTTCCTGCTGTCAGAGTTGCCAGTTCTGATATTTTATTGCAATTGGGATTCCAGTCCATGACTCGGGAACCCATTCCACACAGGCCGTCCCTTTTATAGTGTCTACTTGTTCAGGGCCCTATCCAACTTCTATTACTATCCGAAGGATAAAATCCATTAGCAGTTGGATTAACACCTCCATGTAGCAGTTTACATCTCCAAACTCCTGTCCAAAGTTCACTGCAATTCCTCTTCGACCGTAAAGAAAGCAACTGAATGAATGAGAGCAGCTAAATTAAGACCAACCCACATAAGTATTAAAGGCCAGATGCCCAGAATAAAATGGAATCAAATTAATTTGCTTTCAGTGGCTTCTACAAACATTTTCACCGAGATTATTTTATGATGCCCCCAGAAGAGTCTTGGATCTGAGGGTTGTTCAGGGCTAATTCCAAATAACGTGATGGTTTGTTTGGGTGCTTTTTGCAAAAGACTAAATTGGCTCTTGTCAGCAGCATGGAAAATATTTCTCTGCAACTGTCAGCTTCAAGGGATGGTTGATATGCCCTGCAGTTTTGTGCTAACACAGGTTTCATCCTTCAGTGGTTTGGGGGTTTTTTTCCCCTTTCATTTTCCTCGGCATAGCTAAGTGCTACATTTTAGTTTTTGAAGTGGGTGTGTGCAAAGATGCATAACAGGAAATCTGTCTAGAAGAAAGCCTCCACCATGAGACATAGCAGCATACAGTGAGGAATGCATCGCTTTCCCCAGTGCTGAGTTTCTACCAGACTTTAAGTACAGCAGAACTCTGTCGTTGTGGTGCTTTGATTGTACAAAGGCATAAGCAAACAGCTGGGGATTTCCTCAGCATAGGAGAATTTCTGAGTGCTGTAGAAGTCTCATAGCCAGCTCATCCACCACCCTGAGCTTGTCCCTGGTGTACCCATGGTTTTGGTAGCACGCATAAGAGGAAGAGACTATTTCCAAGGTATTGCTACGCTCACTGGCTCATCTACCAGGCACTTGAATTCAGTAGGCAAGCAACATAGTTTTAGAGCAACCCTAAGGCCTTTCTAAACTATGTTGGAGCAAGTGTAGAATTAGCCCCAAATTTACTGACCTGTAACAGCTTTTGTGTGTTCCCTCTAGTAATCTGCACCCAGCAACCCACCTGGATGCAGGTTAGGACTGGGCCCCCAAGGGTATACTGTAAGATGCATTTTCTGTAGGTAGTTCACACATTTTACTCTGCATTTAAGTTGCATGGCTTTGGGGTGTCCGCATTGGGAATGCTATATTCAAGACTCAAGCCTGAAGCATCAGGTGGGAAACATGCGCCTGGGGAAGCGAGGTGACAATTGCATCCCTGTTCTTAACCTAACACAACGAATAGGAAACACCTGTCTCTGCTGAAGAGAGAGTCAGTCAGAAATGACTGAACTCCTCATGGTTACGAGGCTGTTGAACAAAAGAGGCCAGATATTGCTGCTCATTCTCTCTGGAAAGAGTGTGCCTGGCTCCTGTGGAGCATCCCTAAAACACTGTTCTCTCTTCAGATTTAAATTGCATAGCTAACGATGACAATAATCAGTCTTTGTCATTAGCCCCTTCCTGTCCATTTCCAGTACTAAGCAGAGCCTCGCTACACTTCTCTGAGGTGGTGGAAATCACATATTCCAAATTTTACAGATGGGGAAACAGAAGCCCACTGAATTTCCCAGGTCACATTGCACATTGATGGCAAAGTCTGAAGTAGAATCCAGTTTTCTTGCTACCTCTTATTTGGTTGGGTTCACAAGTCCAGTCTTTTTCCCCCTTTGGAGTTCTCTGTCAATGTGTCCTGTAGGGGCCGAAAAAATCAGGTTGACTAATGGGGCTCACAGGAAACCCCAGAGGTTGTCATTCTGGCCTAGCACAGTGAGAATCGTTAAATAACTGAGCACAGGGATCAATTGAAATCATGTTCTTCTAAACCACTCTTCCTTGCAGATCTACTCTGGCCCGCCAGAGGACAATGCAGCTCCCCCAGTGCCTCCTCCCAGGGTAACCGCCCGTAGGCACAAGCCCATCACAATTTCCAAGCGCCCTTTGAGGGAAAGGCCTGTCTTCTTTGGTGGTTCTGTGGAAGAAAATGAAGGTCAGTACAGCTATTCACTAACACCGCATCCACCTGAAACCTCTTACATTGCACTTGCCAGTATCATGTCTAAGAACCCACCTTTCTGTTCCTTGCAAAAGAAGGCTTTGAAATGGTAGTAACAGTATTTCATTACCAAGGGCATGAGCATTTTGGCTGAGAAGCTCTGTTTGGTTTGCAGGGTTATTTGCCCTGGCAGAAAGCAAAGGAAATGCACCTCATTATATAGGCTGAACCAGCTTGCATTCTCGATGAACCTTCCTCTCTGGGGGCAGGGTTTTCTGATCATTTGCTGCCTCAGAGGTGTAAACCAAACACACAGTTTGCATGATTGAGAATCGTGATGAAATTGTGCAGATTCACAGGTAAAAGAGAAATGCCAATAAGCAAATAGATTTGAAAAATAAAAGCAGTGTCTTCTCTGGCACAGTATAGGAAATGCAAAGGTAATGCCAAGCACAGCTAAAATAAATAGATCAGTGTTTCATTTAAATCCTTGGATTGTATAGGCCAAAGCTTGGTTGCGGGGGATCTTATGATGGTGTCTAAATCACGGACCATCTCGTGGTCACTCAGGTGAGGTATCCCCCAGAACAGTATTTAAAGTAAGTAAACAATTGGTTGTTTGCAAGTCCCAATGAAAGCGTTTTCTGGTTCACATTCAGTTCTGCTCTTCAGTCATTTTTTCTTTTTTGTAAGGAGTTAGTAACTCAGAAGGACACACCCATCATGTTGCAGGGGCACCGTCAACTCTAAATCATGCTTCTGTCTGCAAATGTATTACCAGCTGCTGCTACAAATTGCTCCCGAGATCACTATCACTGAAAGAGATTAGAAGTATATTTTCTCTAGGGTTTTTTTTAAGTATATTTACTTTGTGCATTTGACCACACTTTGCACTAGATGCTGTATGTTTTTTGAGCATCTGTCCAACCTAAACATGCACTTAAGCATGTGCTTAACTTTAAGCACTTGAATAGTTCATAAAAGTCAGTACAAGCTGAGCTTGTACTTCAGTGCTTCCCTGGATGAGCAAGAATCAAGGTCAAGCTATCTATTGTATATCTATTATGCATGTTATCTATCATGTATTCATGCAGTCAACTAGGCAATGCCATTCTACATATAGAATTGTTCTACATAATTTTATCTATTCAGCTGCACTTCTCTTGTTTTGAAACTACTTCTTATAAATTCCTTTTTCCCCTAGTTTACAGCCCTCTATTCCTTTTAGGTATCTTTTTATTTACTTACGGAGTTAAGCATAACAATCCATGGTTTTATATGTTTTTTGTAGCTTAGGCTGTAGCTGCTTCTTTGCCAGACCCAAGGAAGGGCATTTTGTGCCCAAACCTTCTATAATATCTCTCCCAACTGTACAGTTGGCCCAATAAAAGATATCACCAAAAGCCCCTTTGCTGCTTGCACATTTCCTGGATCACCATGGCTGTAACAACAACCCAACTTGTCTGAATCAAAACAAATGTGTTCATGACTTGTTGGACTGTATGGCTAGTTTCATTATAGGGGCATTCATTTTTTGTGGGTTTTCGACACAGCAATAGAAAGAAGAAAGCTTTTGGAGGAATATGGAAATATCAGTCAATTCCCCGCCCCCCCCCAAATATAGAGAGATTTATGGGCAAGCTTTTTACTTCTACTTTTTGTTAATTGGCCAGGAACTCAGAGTTAACAGCATCCCTCTAAAAATCCCAGATTTTACACATGCATTGATCATTTCCATTCCTTACCTGCTAATAATGCTCAAGAGTAGTGAAACCAAACTTATGTTTAAATGTCACTTATTCTTCCCCACCGGCATAAGCCACTTACCGTTCATAATTCACTCAGCAGGGACAGTGAAAGCAAAGCAGTCAATTGTGCTTATTTCTTGCTGCTGTTATTACACGTACCATGAGCTTTATTTTGCAAAGCTAGTGAACACCTAGAGATTAACAAAAGCTGTGGGAGCTGAACAAGCACTTGTAAAAATCAGGTTCTGTGATTCACCTGGAATGCTTGTTCTTTTTGCCTTTTGGTTTCACAGGTGACAGCCATAACCAGACTCCTAATGGCACCATCATCTGTAACAGCACAGAAGCTCCCAAGCCACTTCATCGCAACCGAATGCCCATGCCACGAGCAGGGGAGGCTGATCCTGGGAGGCCTGGCTCAGACCACAAGCTGGAACAGTATCTGGAGGTGGATGTAGGGAAGCTGGTGTCCAAACTGCAGGATGGGGGATCTAAGGTTGCCAGCAAGGCTGCAAATGGTATGGTGACAGGCACTGCTGCTTTAAAGACCACCACTCTCCACACAAAGAGGCCTGCCCCCAGGCCTGTGATTTACAGCAAGGAGGGTAAGTTTTCTGCTTTGTAAGGTCTCCCACACAGAGAGATCACACCTGAAGTTGGATAGGACTGGCTCAGCTTGCTGTGCTGCAGAACTCATAATGGCATTGTGACAAAGACCCCTGAATACTGGCGTTCGAGAAACCTGTGGGTTCTCGGCAAAGGGAAATGCCAGTTTTCCCACTTGCACCTCTTTTCATGAAGTTCAGTGAAAGGGGACAAAAAAACAAGATATTTATAAGCCAGAGTGGATCAATGGATCTGAACCCTCCTCCTTTTGAGAATGTCCCAATTATGGACACTTTTTGGGTTGGGCCCATTTAATTTCAGACAGGCACATAAGCTCAGCCAGTTGCTTACTGCTGGAGGAGAGAAAACACTCTGGCCTTTATGTCAGAGGGTTAAGTAGCGTTGTTGCTACTGTAGCCTAGTGTTAGCCACAAGGCGTGGGCTGAGGCATAATGAAAAGTCACACCTCTATATCTGGAGATCCTGAAATCAAAATGCAGATCTGAAGGGAGAATATTCAGGGCCATGTCTGAGCAGGCATTGTAAAGGGAAAAAAAAAAGGGATGTGGGTCTCCTTGTTTGTAGTCACCCATGCAAAGTCGCCCATGTTCTTCTGGAACAGTCTTGCTATGTACAGGTAATTTTAGACATACGCATTTGCTGTTGATTGCTTATAAAATACTATTCCTCCTATAAGACTGTCATAAAAGCAGTGTTCTTTCTAATTCATCCCAGTGCTTGTTACATGCTTTCACACACCAGTAACGTTCACAGTCTTACATTTAGAAAGTCAAAAGTATGCTGTGTATTTGTGGGTTGTCTCCTGGGTGTAATCAAAAGGAAGAATAACAAAGCTTGGCTCCATAGCACTACCGAAAGGTTCATTTGGCTAATACCCCAATCTCATTTAAATCCATCAAATGAATATGAAGAGGAAATCAGCTTTTGGAATAACAGGATGGCTTTTACAGATGGCTGTGGGTGTACCTTACTCTTAATCAACATTGTTGATAGCAATTAGAGATGTTCTGTTACATCTGTATGAGACACTAATGAACCATTACTACACTATCGTTCCCTGTTTTGGTGTCCAAACTTTGAGGGAAAATGTTGGATAATTGGAACAAGTTTAGAAGAGAGCCACAGGACTGGTGAAAGCACTAAAAAAACATGACTTTTAGTGGAAGACTCAAGAAGCACAATCTATTCCTCTTATCAGAAAAAGGGTTAAGGATTCCAGGGTATAAATACCTACACAAGGAATAAAGGCTTGATAAAAGAAGGGCAAAGTTAGACTAGAAACACATTGTTAAATGTTTGCCAAGAGTTCATGGTGAACTCTCCATCACTGGAAATTTTTAAAGACAAGGTTGGACATTTTTCTAAAAGATGTGCTCTGTTCTGATTGGGAATTGATTTGGAGTCCCAGGGCTTGTTTTACGTAGGGGCAGAGATGAGATTTTTCTGTTGGCTTTATAAAATACCTCTTGAAAAAGCTGTGCTGGTGGAAGGTGAGAATGGAACTGTGTCTTAGATCAAGGAGGGGCCAAGTTCACAGAGATGAAGCAGCACAATTGAAATAGCATCTTTCCCCATGATACTCTGCTGGTGGTGGCCAGACCAGATGGTGATGACCAAACCAACGAACAGGGAATGGGGTGGAGAGGAGAAGCATGCCATGGCGGGTTCAAAGAATTAATGATGGCAATGTATGGATAGTTGGAGTTGGATAGTCAGCCAGCCATACCACGAAACTCAAAAAGAAAAGGAACTGGGAGAAGAGAATGAACAGAAAGCCAGAAGGAGGAAGGGAAGATGGATGAGGGAGAGGAAATATATAATCACTTCATAAAATAAAGGTTGAATATGCTTATGGACAAATAGAGACCCAGGGAGATCCTAAAAGGGAATTGTAACCAGCATTAGAATTGAACCCTCCCTCCCTGGGGCTGAAGGGCAGCGCTGCACCTTGTGATTAGTTTTCCCTCTCAAATGATGCAGTAATACTTGGAAACCAAATGTGTACAACCAGCTTGTCCTGAAATGGCAATGTCTAGCTCTGCCTGTGGTGGTAGATTCCCCAAATGCCCCTCGTCTCTTAACTAGCCTGAACGCTTTGCCTCTTCATAATCCTTTGCTGCCACTGTAGACAATGTTTGTAACCTTCAACCTTTCAGGTGATTATGACAGCTTTACTAAAGCACGATCCCATGGAGACAAGCCAGTGATCACACGTCCTCCAGTGAGACCCCCTGACCCTCCCTGCCGAGCCCCCACACCCCAGAAGCTGGAGCAGAAGCCAGAGCTAATAGCAGGAGGAGCAGAGGAAATGCCATCATCTGTGTAAGTAGGAAATCTGTCAGGGCTGTACAGACACCCCTGAATGAACAGGTCAGCAAGAGGCAACTCTTCGCAGCCAAGGGATTTGGGAAGCGTTCACTGGGAATGAGACTCAGCCTGGAAGACCAAACTAGCAGTAGCTGCTGCATTCCATCAGTATTTAAAAAAGGAAGAGGAGAGAGAATAAAACTAGACCTATAGTAGTGGTACAACAAAACCACAAACCTTTTCTGCTGTGGTCCTAGAACTCGACTTGCCAGCATCTTCTGTATTGCGGTTGCTAGCTGCTGGCAGCTGGTCAAGCCACACTGGAGAATGAAACTTCCAAGAAGGAACCAGGCTGTCTTGGATTTGTTCCAAGCAAAACTGGAGGAAGGTTTAGCACTAATTACCCTGGGTCCCCACTCAAATTTCACTCAGTTCTTGGTTAGACAAAATTCCACTAGAGCAAATGGGAGAGTGCCTGAGTAAAAGATGTCTGGATTTCACACACCATAGTAAGAATAACAAGATGGCTTTTAAGAAGAACAGTAAGAGTTTGTTTTGGAGATGGATGTCTAGGCATTGCTGACAAAGACCTTACTCCTTGCTGCTGGTGCTGTAAAACAGTAATGGAGTATAAACTTCTCATTTCTATGTCATCCTGTGCTGGACCATTTCATCAGGGTAGCAGACATTAGTGACAGCTGGTTGCTTAATAGTCTCTCATCATTTACTTCAAGGTTGGCATTTTTTCCCCTCCAGAGCTTTGATTTAAGGCCCCACGCACTGCACCAAGGATGAAATGTACTAATTAGACATCATTTGTCACCAAATTGTATTTTTAAATGCCACAAAGCATTTAAAAATATCTGAGCAACAAGGGATGTGATCCCAAATTTTCATAGGAGAGCGAGGGCGGGTGTCAGTGTCCTGCAATGAAGCACACTCCAAACCCTCTGTGCTCAGTGCACTGATAACGTTACACTCTGTGCAGATGCAGCATTTCTAGTAAAGCCATGCTTTATTTGGGAAATAACTTTTCAGTAAAGCAGAGTTATGCAGTTGGTCCAAATCTCCTTGCTCAAGTGAACCTCCTGTTGGTAATCATGCCCGAGTAACAGTAACAGGCCACACTTACTGTCCTTAATCACTTGCTGTGATTTCTCTCTTCATAATTGATTTGAACCCAGGTCTGAAGTAAACACAATGGAGATAAATCATGCCAATTAAAGACATAGGGGTAAGTTTTTTAAGCCAGCTGGTTGGGCTTTGAATTGGGTAGCCAAGTGACAGACAGCAAAGCATCCTTGATGGTAGCATGGGTTCAGAACTGTCAGAGGCAAGAGCAAGGCAAGAGGTGTGAGAGCAGGCGGATTGTCAGTTAGAAGGGCCCTGATCATCCTCGCTGTGCTCCTGTAGTACCCTCTCGCCCTGCCTTGCTCTAAATCACTCCCTGACACACATACTGTGTCAACAAATAGGTGCCTTGTGCTGGGTAAATGTAAAAAAAAACCTTTCTGGTTTTGTCTGCAGAGTGGCCTCCAGAACCAAGTTCTTTGAGACTGCTTCCCAGAGGACAAGCAGGTAAGAGGTGCATGGAACTTAAACTTTTCGTGTGAACGCACACATGAACAAGAGTCTGCACTCAACATAGAGGGCACTGCCACAGCAAGCTGGAAAGGCCCTCTGGTTCTTCTCTGAGCATGTGTGTTTTATAGAGATAACAAAGAGGTTCCAACCAGAACAGTGGATTCAAACAGGGGAAGCTGTGGGGTCTGCAAAATCCAGACCTGGACTGAATGATTAGCTTGAGCAGGTGTGCTAACAAATACTTCTGTGGGTTTGTACGCTGTTGTGTGTTCAATTCTGAAAGTGTGTATAGGATGCTATTCACCCTATACTCACTGCTTGAGAAGCTTACAATCATGGTATATAATAGATGAGAAAATCCTGTTGGATCATTGGGTCTTTCCTTTTTGCCTGGATAGAGGGTAGTCTTCTAATACAGAAATAACTATTAAACTGATGTGTCACATGATCTATCTGCAGGTCACAACATTACCATTATTTAGCCCAGTGTAATGAAGCAGTGGGTTTGGAGACAGCTTCAGATTATCTGGGTCAGCTGAGATGGCAGGGGTTTGAAGTAGGCACAGTGAAGTTTATTTGTTGTAATCAAATTTAATTTTGTAGCCTCCACTTTTCACTCTTGGAGATTACCAACATATTCCAATAGCACCCTAAGGTCTGTGTACGGCTTTGAGAAGGTGATAGATGTTGTCTCTCTTTTAGAGCATGTAACAATTTCCTCACCGAGGGTGCTGAGCAGTACATCACTGAGCTGGCTGGCTATGGAGTTCTTTCCTTTAGATGCATACACTTGAGTTTAGGCTTATTTATTAAATTAATTTGTTTTCTCTCCTTTTTCCCTGTTTATTCACAGCTCCTCATCACCTCAAGGCAGACTCCCAAATGATGAGAGCTGAGGTTAACGGTACGTTTCTGTCACAAAAAAACCCCCTAGAGCACAGTTTGAACCAAGGTTTGCACCCCAGTGGGTTGGGTGGTGAGGAAGACAGCGGAGGTAGTTGGGAATCTTGGAAGAAGAAAGACTGACTGACAGCAGCCTTTCTTCCCCTCATCCAGCAGAGGAGCTTGGAGGAGAGGTGATGACTGGAGGGGGCCCATTCCCCCTCTGCTCTGGTAGCAGTGTAGCGGGGCAAGATGCTTCAGCACCTCTGGGCACCTATACATGTGATGGCATGTCGGCACTGTTGGCACCTGGCCTAGGATTTTGTGGGCAAGGCAACCCACTGTTCTTTTGGATTAGGTGGTGATAAGGGGGCAGAGGGGGTGTCTATACATGTGGTCTGGGGTAGGTGGGGTGGTGCATTAATTAGAGCAGCTCTCAGAGACGCTCTAATTAAAGCACCCACAGTGTCATGTGTATTCGGTGTCCCTGCATTTCAAAATGGTGGCATGGGTGCTTTAACTAAAGCTTGTCAAATGGGCTTTAATTAAAATGTGCCTGCTGCCAGTTTTGAAGCGTGGGATGCTGAATACGCATGACGCTGGAGGCGCTTTAAATAGAGCAGCCCTGAGAGCTCCTCTGTTTAAAGTGCCACCCCATCCACCCTGGAGGACATGTATATAGGCACCCTCTCTGCCCCCCTTATCACCATTTAATCCACATGAACAGTGAGTTGCTTTGCCCACAAAGTCCTAGGTCAGGTGCAGACAATGCTGAAGGCTGGGGTGCTGAGGTCTGGCCTAGGTTTAGGCCTGACCACAATGACTAGATGATTGATATATTTTTGCCAGAGCAGGTTGTTCCTTGCCATTGCTTTTTTGTTGTTGTTGGCTTTACTCACATGATTGCTTTCTTCTTTCAGACATTTCACTAACCAATCCTGGCTGGTTCCAGGTAGTTCTCCCAGCATCTGAAATGGCCTCTCCAACCACCCAGATGGTTTGAGCCTGCGTGATGTGGCCATGGAGAGCAGCTATCCCACCAGACACTGACTTTGGGGCATACTATTATGAACAGTCCAGGGAGTTACAGGAGAGGGGGACAAAACAGCAGGAAGATCCAGACCTATTGTTTGTTAAATGAAATGTGCATCTTGAATTCTTTTTGCCACACACACCCCTGAGCTCCTGCATTAAGCAGTGAGTAAAGGATGCTTGTCATGTAGGGTGATAAATCTTAGGTTTGATGCTGACTAGTGGAAGGTGACCCAGTCTGCAGAGCTGGGCAGAGGATGACTGATATGTCCTAAAAGGAATAACAGAGAACTCTGGGTGTTGTCTGCACCCTGACCCTTTAACAGTTTTGCCCTGGAAGGACTTTCAGCTCAAATGGACTTGCAGCCAAAAAGCAAGCTACAGATTCGCAGAGCTTGAGTACCAGGACGGAGTGGTCTGAAGTTTGAACTGGACCATCTTATTGTCAGAAACTACTTGCTATGACGCACCATTTTCAAGAAAGCCTGTTTTCATTCCTGAGTCAGTTCTGTT